GAGCTTCCCATGGGGCCACGAAGCGCTGTCCTGAGTGGCGTTGACGCATGCGGGCCCTGCCAAAGGAACCTTCTGTGGAGCTCCCTATGGGGCCACGAAGCGCTGTACTGGGTGGCCTTGACGCATGCGGGCCCTGCCACTGGAGCCTTCGCTGGTGCTCCCTATGGGGCCACGAAGCGCTATCCTGGGCGGCGTTGACGCACGCGGGCCCTGCCACTGGGGCCTTCGGTGGAGCTCCCTATGGGGCCACGAAACGCTGTCCTGGGTGGCGTTGACGCATGCGGACCCTGCCACTGGAGCCTTCGGTGGAGCTCCCTATGGGGCCACGAAACGCTGTCCTGGGTGGCGTTGACGCATGCGCACCCTGCCACTTGAGCCTTCGGTGGAGCTCTCTATGAGGCCACGAAGCGCTGTCCTGGGTGGCGTTGACGCATGTGGACCCTGCCACTGGAGCCTTCGGTGGAGCTCTCTATGAGGCCACGAAGCGCGGTACTGGGTGGCGTTGACGCATGTGGACCCTGCCACTGGAGCCTCCAGTGGACCCCTTTCTGGGGCCACGAAGCGCTGTCTTGGGTGGCGTTGACGCATGCGGCCTGTGCCACTGAAGCCTTCGGTGGAGCTCCCCATGGGGCCACGAAACGCTGCCCTGGGTGGGTGAAACGCAAGGAAGTGACAAGGCGGATGGAAGGAGGGAGGAGGGGGGGGAGGAGGAGGGGGAGGAGGGAGGAGAGGAGAGGAGAGGAGGAGGGACGCGGGGCGCTGTCTCTTCAAAACGAGGACCCAACAAAGGATGGTTGGGGGAAAGACAGCTGTTGGGGCCGCGAAGTGAAGCAACCATTCAGAGATGCTGCGTGTTCAAAGTGGCTTCCAGGCGCAATATTTACAGCAGGAGTTCCAGCCGCACGTGCGCTCTCACCACCCAGGCCCCGAAAGAGTACCGTCGGGGCGTTGACCTAAGGAAACCTAAATAAGGAACGAGGCCCCTTTTTTTCCATAAGTTAAACTTCGATTTCCGAAAAGCATTCTTTCTTCAGGGCCCCGAGAGAGCAAGTCTACGCTGACCCGGGCACCCATCGAGATGGCAGGGGTGGCACCACAGTCTTGGCGGCTGACGCGCGCAGGAGGCCAGCGGCCCGACCACGAGCTCTCCAGACGATCTTCAGAGGCAAGGCAAGGGCACAGAAGGAAACGGAGCGGCAGGGTCAGGAGTACAGGCGTCAGCGGGAGGAGACGGCCGAGGAGGGGGAGGAGGAGGAGGAGGAGGAGGAGGAGGAGGAGGAGGAGGAGGAGGAGGAGGAGGCCGGAGGGGAGAGGCCGGCAGTGGAGGAGGGGGCCAGATGAACCACCAGACCCAGCCCACCGACCTCGCGGCTGCGACAGGCCGTCTCCAGAGGCTCACGCTGCGGACGGCAGCTTATGCACCTCAGCACAGGCTTCTGGTTGGCACCAGCGAAGGCGAAGCCGTTTACTCATAGCCTCGCTGCGGGGAGAGCCTACGGAGAGCGCGTACGATGACTGGGCAAAGGGCACAACCTGGGACATCCGCACGCACAGGTAGTATGGGAGCTGATCGAGAGCATGGTCGACTACGTCGAGGACTTGACGATGGAGGAAGCCCCAGAGGAGAACTTGGACTGGGCAAGGGCAGTGCTGCAAGGCTGGATGGAAATCCGCCGACCCTGTCGGCGTGTGTGAGGGGCTTTTCCGTTCGAGCCGTCATCTCCGTCATTTTTTGTACTCGTCGTCTCTGTCCTTCCCTTTCCCTGGGAGACCTCTTCCCCTGGGCTCCAGCCAAGCCGACCTTGAGCAACCTCGTAATTGAGTCGAAGGGAAGCCCCTTCCCTTTGATCCCTCCCCCGCCGGGAGGGGGGGGGGGTAGCGACCCCCCCCCCGGGTCAGATACGACGCCCCCCCCTGGGACTCCTCTTCTTCCCCTGGGCTCCAGCCAAGCCGACCTTGAGCAACCTCGTAATTGAGTCGAAGGGAAGCCCCTTCCCTTTGATCCCTCCCCCGCCGGGAGGGGGGGGGGGGGTCGACCCCCCCCCCGGGTCAGATACGACGCCCCCCCCTGGGACTCCTCTTCCCCTGGGCTCCAGCCAAGCCGACCTTGAGCAACCTCGTAATTGAGTCGAAGGGAAGCCCCTTCCCTTTGATCCCTCCCCCGCCGGGAGGGGGGGGGGGGTGTCGACCCCCCCCCCGGGTCAGATACGACGCCCCCCCCTGGGACGCCCCCCCCTGGGACTCCTCTTCCCCTGGGCTCCAGCCAAGCCGACCTTGAGCAACCCCTGGGCTCCAGCCAAGCCGACCTTGAGCAACCTCGTAATTGAGTCGAAGGGAAGCCCCTTCCCTTTGATCCCTCCCCCGCCGGGAGGGGGGGGGGGGTGTCGACCCCCCCCCCGGGTCAGATACGACGCCCCCCCCTGGGACTCCTCTTCCCCTGGGCTCCAGCCAAGCCGACCTTGAGCAACCTCGTAATTGAGTCGAAGGGAAGCCCCTTCCCTTTGATCCCTCCCCCGCCGGGAGGGGGGGGGGGTGTCGACCCCCCCCCCGGGTCAGATACGACGCCCCCCCCTGGGACTCCTCTTCCCCTGGGCTCCAGCCAAGCCGACCTTGAGCAACCTCGTAATTGAGTCGAAGGGAAGCCCCTTCCCTTTGATCCCTCCCCCGCCGGGAGGGGGGGGGGGTGTCGACCCCCCCCCCGGGTCAGATACGACGCCCCCCCCTGGGACTCCTCTTCCCCTGGGCTCCAGCCAAGCCGACCTTGAGCAACCTCGTAATTGAGTCGAAGGGAAGCCCCTTCCCTTTGAAATCCGGGAATGGGCTCCCCCCCTCCCCCCCGGGAGGGGGGGGGGGGTGTCGACCCCCCCCCCGGGTCAGATACGACGCCCCCCCCTGGGACTCCTCTTCCCCTGGGCTCCAGCCAAGCCGACCTTGAGCAACCTCGTAATTGAGTCGAAGGGAAGCCCCTTCCCTTTGATCCCTCCCCCGCCGGGAGGGGGGGGGGGTAGCGACCCCCCCCCCGGGTCAGATACGACGCCCCCCCCTGGGACTCCTCTTCCCCTGGGCTCCAGCCAAGCCGACCTTGAGCAACCTCGTAATCTCTTGCTGCGCATTGCGAACAGGGTCGGCGGCACCGGCCGTCAGGCCTTCGCAATACCGGACATAAAGCACGGCCTGAAGATTGTCACGGAGAGCATCTTCATTTGAAATGTCGCGGAGACGTACAAGAAGAACAAGACGGAGGGGGCCATGGCGGACGGCGTACCAGAAGACGAGGGGAAGATCACCATCGCAATCAGCATGCACCCGCAGCTTCGTCGACGGGCCCACGGACGGAGCTCGAGAGGACGGTGGAGCGCCAGCTCCAGAGCGCGACGCGGAGGCGAGCCTAGGCCTCCTGAGCGCGGGTCCCCAGCACGAGGCTCGCCACAGGAGTTCGGAGGCCAGTTCCTGGAGCCCTCCCCCCACAGCACCCTTCTCCGAAGCAGCTCCAGACATCGGTGTGGAGAGCCGTGAAAAAGCCAAGGCCGAGACCACTGGCCAGGACCCAGAGCTGTTCGGAAGACTCCGAACGATGGCGGAAGCTGGTAGCCGAGGCCCCTCGAGGCGACTCCACGAGCTAGCCAAAGCCTTCAGGGAGCAGAGAAGACAGCAGCTAGAACTTGAGTGTGCTGGCCAAGGCGATCCTGCCAGCAAACAGCCATAGTATTGAACGGCTACTGCAACGCAACAACGACAACGACCTGCTCTCTTTCTCACCCCTCCTGCCACACTACAAGACACGAGTAGGTGGTTACACATGTGGTGGCGATGCAAGCACGCGCGAGCACAGCACACGGATTTTAGTGACTACCAGGCCTATCCCGTCGACAGGTACGCGACCACACACAGTGCGTCTGGTGCTTTGTGCCGAGCAATGGACACGTACGTACCTACGCACCGGCTCTTCGGGAATTCAAGGGCGTACCGAGGGTCGGACGATGCTGACGCACATCCCGGCGCCCCTACCCTTTCAACCTCCGCAGCCAAAGGCTCCGACGCCTTTCCGACGCCAGCACCGGCACTACAGACTGTATGATGGTGGGGGACGACTGGGTCCAGCTCTGGACCAAATGTACATAGAAAGGGAGGGCTGAGAAGCATGTGATGTGACGTTCTCGGCGTGTCATAACATGAGATTGTCTTAATGTTCTCTCGAGCCTCCTGAAGTCCCTTGGGAGGCCCCGTCCAGGGCCCTCGAGAGGCCCTATATGGGGTCCCCTCCAAAGCCCATTGCACGACTTCGAGGCAGGCATGCGAGCATTGCTACTACGCAGTATCCTCTCGGCTCACGACTAAGCTGTCTCTTGGGACTGGTCCCAGAAATCTACATACATACAGGTGAACTTCGGGAATTGCGACGAGGATATTATCCTTGTCGACCTTGATGGAGAGGAAAGTCGAACGGAAATCAGCCAGCCCTCTTCAAAACTGGCCCTGGGGACAGATGATCATCCTATAAGAGAACCCTGGACCTAAGCCCTCTCCGGGAAAAAACACAAAGCAATTCAAACACACACACACACCAGCGCAACGGATAAACCTGAGATAATGATTCCTTCATCAACTTGGGCTGAGCCTCTTCTAAATTCCAAAGCGTCGTCACTATTACATGTACCTCACCTTCAGCTTGCCATCCGCTTGCCTCTGGCAGAAAGAATAACCCTAATTGGGATCGCGCCGGACTTTGATTTTCTTCCGCGGCGACCAGGTGTGATCTGCAGAGCGGCGGCTATCTGCTCCGAGGTCTCATCGCTGGGGGCGCTTGCCCAGCGCGTCGGTGCCATAGAAGCTATCCTCGTCCCAGTCTTCTCCCTGACTCTCCTTGAATGCCCTGGTGACGAACGCGAACGGGTTCATGATGCGGCCTGGCCGCTTCGGGGCCACAACGGCGATCTCCTTTCCGGCCCACTCGCCAGCGACGCCCGTGGTGAATACCCAGCCAGGCTGCCTCGCGAGCTTCAGATATGTCTGCTGGACACGCCCGCCGACCTCGTAGAACATCTCGTGTTGGAGGCGGCCGCGGGGTCTGAGCTGGTTGGGACCCCAGAACATTTGCCAGAGGGAGGACGAGCCCGAATCAGGACAACGTCGGTCCCCAGACCCCTCCCTGGGTCCACCTGGTGCTAGTTTTCACAACAGATCTGTGTTTGACGGTCCAGGGGCCCGAAGACGCCCCCCGGAGGCCGAAGCAGGCAAACAGACTTCCTGCACCCAGCGCCTCCAACCTGCCAGCCCTTCCTGCCGGTCAGAATCCGTGCTAGGCCACCTCAGACCCCCAGCCGGCTCCAAATCTCGTCCACCACCTCGAACACCTGCTTCTCCTCGATGGCGGTGGTCCACTCCCCGCTCCTGATCTTCGCCATCTCCCTCGGATCCTTGGTGCTCGCGAGCCGGGCGCTCGCCAGGGCCCCGTGTAAAAAGGGGCTTTGACAAACCAAGACATTGGCACTCCTCCTCCTCCTCCTCCTCCTCCTCCTCCTCCTCCTCCTCCTCCTCCTCCTCCTCCTCCTCCTCCTCTCTGCCCATCGGATCCATAGATTATAAGAAAAATCATGGAGGCCTCGCGCGGCACGCAATTGTTGCATGATCTTTGGCCACAGTGTGTCGAAACAATGCTTCGTATAAAAAAGAAGAAGAGAGCAGACACAATGCTTCAGCAACCGTCGTCGACACTCAGATGCCGCCACGTGCCGACTGCCAGGCTTTTTGTACATCTTGACACGGCTGGGGAGGCACGGCACAATCGAGGAGGAGGATCCACAAGAAGAGGGGGAAAAGACAAAAGCGTGGTGTGGGCATCCCCGATGGGTCTGCCAGCCGTTCCCATACATACACCAGGGACGCAACGGAGGAGGAGACGCAATGGAAGAGGACCCTGGGTCGAAACATGTTCCATTCTTCGTTCCCAAACGCCTAATCTCTTGATGTGTTCCATACGCGGCCCCCGGAAATCCCGACCCCTTCCCCAGGGCCGGCTTTTCTCATCCAAATCCTTTGATGACAGTCCCGGAATTCGGCAAGGGGCCCCTGGAGGCCGAAATCGGCCAAAAACCGTCCGTCTCGACTTTCTTCACGACGCGAGCACGTCTGGGCTTCATACACGTGGAATGTTCAAAGTCCTGGCTGGCAACGCCCTGGTTCACGAGGCCCTGAGCTTGTCCAGTCGGGGCCTATCCGCACGCCTATCTTGGTCAGCGCCCTGTAGCTCTTGGTGGGCACCTCGCCCGGCTCGTACGCCGCTGCCCGCCCGACGCCCCCGCCGCGAGGCCGCGGACCCAGACGCCCAATGTCTGGATACGTTCAATGCGCGGTCCCCGGAAATCCCGACCCTCTCCTCAGGGCCAACTTTTCATCATGAGTCGCTTGTTCGATGCGGCCGCTGGACCCCTTCTTGTTACTGATACGATTGTTCCTTCTCCCTGTTTTCTTTAGGTGGGGGGGCTGCATCATTAGCGCCATCGAATGCTATCCGAACTCTTTTGTGCGATTCTTCTCCTCCTCCCCTTCCTCCACCACCTCCTCCTCCTCCTCCTCCTCCTGTTGGGGATTCACGTAATGATTCCTGTGGTGGTGGGTTAGACGTCCTCCCCCAGGGAGGGGGGGGAACTAACAAAACAACGGTGGCGGGCGGGAGGGGGTCAGTGCTTGTTCTCTGTTCTCCCTTCCCCCGCCAAGTATCCGAATTAAGGGTTCCTTGATGACGGAATCCTCAAGCAGAGACCCCTGCTCAAGGCATCCTTACTGAAAGAACCATTACTGGAGGAAGTAACCGTAGGGAATCCTCAATACCGAGTTCACGACTGAGGGGCTCCTCACTAAAGGTATCCCCGCTAGGGATTTCACACCTCGGGCTCTTACTCAGCCTCCTCGCTACAGGAATCCGCACTAAGGAATAGTTGATAGAAGGCGTCCTTACTGATCAATGCTGGCCGAACGCGTGCCCACGAAAGGTTTCCCACTAAACGGGTCCATACTCGGGCTCCCTTGGTACAGGCGTCCTTACGAATGAAAATGTACTAACATAATCGACCCACGAGCCCAGAAAGGGGTATAGAAATGCAAGGCATGGCAACGTTTCAAAGACACCTGATTGAGCGACGGGCAGATCCAATGCTGAGTGTATCGATCTTGATGTACCGTGCCGAGGGCTGTGCTCTGCTGCGCCATGCTGAACTGCGATTTGCCATGCCTCGATTGTGCCCTATAGCGTTGTGGATCGAGTCCTCCTTTGCACCCGAGTCCTGAGCGAACTGATCTGGATCTTAATTAAGCTCGAGCTGTCTGAGCACATAGTAGCTGCCACAGAACTAATTGACAAGGGGGTATGCCAGGAGGATGCGCCGCGGAACGTCCCAAGGGACGCGCCAGGCGACGTGCCAGGGGGCGTGCCATGGGGACGCGCCGCGGGACGTGCCAAGAGGACGCGCTACGGAACGTGCCAATGGACGTGCCACGGGACGTGCCAGGGGACGCGCCGTGCGACGTGCCAGAGAGACTCGCCACGGGACGCGCCACGGAACATGCCAAAGAACGCGCCAAATTGCAATGCTGAGTGTATCGATCTTGATGTACCGTGCCGAGGGCTGTGCTGTGCTGCGCCGTACTGAACTGCGATGTGCCATGTCGCGATTGTGCCCTATAGCGGTGTGAATCGAGTTATCCTTTGCATCCGAGTCCTGAGCGAACTGATCTGGATCTTGAGCTCGAGGTGCCTGAGCACATAGGCCAGAAGGACGCGCCGCGGAACGTCCCAAGGGACTCGCCAGTCGACGTGCCAAGGTACGTGCCGTGGGGACGCGCCGCGGGACGTGCCAAGGGGACGCGCTACGGAACGTGCCAATGAACGTGCCACAGGACGTGCCAGGGGACGCGCCGCGCGACGTGCCAAGGGGACTCGCCACGGGACGCGCCATGGAACGTGCCTGCCAAGGAACGCGCCAAATTGCAATGCTGAATGTATCGATCTTGATGTGCCGTGCCGAGGGCTGTGCTGTGCTGCGCCGTGCTGATCTGAGATGCGCCATGCCGCGAGTGTGCTCTATAGCGTTGTGGATCGAGTTATCCTTTGCATCCGAGTCCTGAGCGAACTGATCTGGATCTTGAGCTCCAGCGGCCTAAGCACATAGTAGCTACCCCAGAACTAATTGACAGGGGGACATGTCAGGAGGACGCGCCGCGGAACGTCCCAAGGGACGCGCCAGGCGACGTGCCAGGGTCGTGCCATGGGGACGCACCGCGGGACGTGCCAAGGGGACGCGCTACGGAGCGTGCCGGGGACAAGCGTTTCGCTCAACATATCCTGCCCAAATCCTCATGCTAGACATCCGCCTGGGCGACCTGGACACGTGAAAACAAGCGCTTCGCTCAACACATCTTCAACACATCCTCATGCTAGACATCCGCCTGGGCGAACTGGACATACGAAAACAAGCGTCTCGATCGAGACTTCCTCAATACAGCTTCATGTTAGACGTCCGCCTGGGTGACCGTGAAAACAAGCGTTTCGCTCGACACATCCTCAACACATCCTCATACTAGACATCCGCCTGGGCGACCTGGACGCGTGAAACCAGGCGTCTCGCTTGACACATCCTCAACACATCCTCGTACAAGACATCCGCCTGGGCGACCTGGACACGCGAAAACAAGCGTCTCGATCGAGACTTCCTCAACACATCCTCATGCTAGACATCTGCCTGGACGACCTGGACGCGTGAAACCAAGCGTCTCGCTCAAGACATCCTGGAGATCTGGGCACGTGAAAACAATCATTTCACCTGAGACATCTTCTGAATTCTGGTCCCCAGGAGAAAAACAATCCATAACACAGAACAGGAGTTTCGCTCGAGACATCCTCAACACATTCTGAAAAACAAGCGTTTCGCTCGGGACGTCGTCAAACATCATTTCGCCAGCCCTCTTCCGGTCTCGTTATATTTTCCGCAAATAATTTCGCCGGCCCTCTTCTCGTCGATTCCGGGGGTAAACCTATTAGAAGAGAACCCTGGGCCAGAGCCCCTTCCGGGAAACAAGTCCTTACTAAAGTTCCTTCACTGACAGGACAACTGTCTAAGGGCCCATTGCTACAACCATCCTTACTGAGGCACTCCAGCAATGGCCCCGGTGAAGGCGTTCGCATGGCGTCCCAGAGAGGTATCAGTGGCTGGGCTTTGCGTGAATGTGAAGGGGGAGATCCGGGCAGAGACAGAGAGAGCAACCACTTCCTTCTGCAACATGCCCCCTCTGTGCTGTGGGCTGTGCGGGAGAGCAGCCATGCCCCCCCCCCAGACAAGTCCTCCTCCCCAAGGACTCCTTACTAAAGGGCTCCGTGCTCCTGATCCCTTACTTGCGGCATCCTGTGAAAATCGATCCCTAATAAAGGAAGCAGCACATATACCTAACTACAGGGGTACTGGCCGAGGGGGGCCCTTACGACAAACATCCTCATGGATGAGGGCATTACTAAGGATATCCTCACTTGGGACCGCTTAATGCAAGACATACACAAGATGAGCCGTTCCTAAAGGAGACCTGCATAGTGAGCCCTAACTGCAGGCATCCTTACCGAGGGGACCCTCATTACAGCCATCCTCACTAAGGACCCCTCACCCAAACTGATCCCTCTACTATACCAAAGGGTTCCTGAGTAAAGGCATTCTGTCTAACGGGTTCAGCGTCAGGGCGAAGAACGCCTTAACAAATCCTTAATACTGATCCCTCACGAAGTAGCACGAGCATTGAACCCTTACTGCATGGATATATACTGAAGCGACCCTTCCTAAAGGCATCCTCTCTAAGGACTCATTACTAAAGGAATCCTTACTAAGGACCCCTTGCCGAAAGGCATTCCTACTGACGAGTGCCCACCAGATGCATCCGCACGAAAGATTCTTCATTCCACGGGCCCTTCTTCAGGTTCCCTTGATACAGGAAAAACATGCTAGTGGATGCTGTCTGAGGACCAGTCACTGAAAGGAGTGCTTACTAAAGGTCCCTTGCTACAAACATCCTGATTAAGGTTCTCCAGCAATGGCCCCAGTGAAGGCGTTCGCATCGCGCCCCACAGGGGTATCAGTGGCTGGGCGTTGCGTGAATGTGCAACGGGAAGAGGGAAGAGGAAGAGAAGGAAAGAGAGAGAGAGAGGGAGAAAGAGAGAGAGAGAGAGAGAGAGAGAGAGAGAAACAACTTCCTCCTGCTACTTCACCCCTCTGTATCGTGGGCTGTGTGAAGGAGCACCCAGGCGCACCTCCCATTACTCAGGATCCCTTTACTAAAGGCATCATGAATCAGGAATCCTTACCAAAAACAAATACTTAAAAAGGAATTCTTACTACAGGAACCGAGAGAGAGAGAGGAGGAAAGTAGACAATCAAACAACTGAAAGAGAGAGAGAGAGAGAGAAAGAGAGAACAACAAAGAGAGAGAGAGAGGGGGGAGAGATGGGGGGAAAGAGGGATAGAGAGAGGACAAACAAAAGAGGGAGAGAGCGAGAGAGCAACCAATTCCCTCCTGCGTCTCCCCTTCTGTGGTGCGTGGTATGTTTGTGTGTTTGTGTGTGTGTGGGAGAAGAATTTCCCAGCAAAAACAACATGTCCCCCTCGAGCAGACACCCTCAGACAGTGCCTCATGTAAATCGCGATGGTGGAGGGCGAATGGCAGTGATGAAGACGATGATGAGAATGAGGAGGGGAAGGACGAGGAAGAACAATAGTAACGATGATACGATGAGAAGATGAAGCATGAGGCGTGAATACGTCCCAGGTCTCGTGTGGCAGAACGCAAGCTCCACTATGCCCTGGCCTCCACGCACTCGCGATCCTGAGGGCCCCAAGAGGCCGAAAACGACGAGAAACCTCCTCGGTCTTGGCCTTGACTCCTCCAGATTGTTGGGCGTCTGGGGAAGCTGCGGGCACGCGGTGCGGGCGGCCGAGACCCGCGAGTCCCTGGCGAGCCACAGCCCGGCTGGCCGGGCGGCGCAGCGCGCACCGCTCAGGCTGGCCACTCCGGCGCGGGCCGGGGCGGCGAGCGCCAGGAGCAGCGCGGCGACCCACGCCGCACAGCAGCCTCGAAGGGCGCAGCGGAGGCCCAGCCGGCGGCCCGCGGGCCGCCGCGCCGCCATGTGAGCGACGAAGAGAAGCGGGTCTGAAGAGAGATGGCATGGCGACCTCACGCGGTGATTTACGCGGGCCGCCAGCGCAGCACGGCGCTCTGGAAACGAGGGCGCTCACGCGCGTCCTCACGCGGGCAGCTGACGCGCGAATGTCCGCGCAGTCGAACCCGTTTTTCTGCG